GCTGAAAGTTAAACCAGGTATAGGGGAAAAGCCCAAAATTATCCACTCTCCAGAGATATCCACATTCTATTAGGAGAGTCTTCATCTTCCTGGGTCTGCTGACTCTTCCACCCATCTCAGTTTTACCTCCTTGAGCCTTGGCTTTGTACCAATGCCCATATCCAAGATGGCAGTGCTTAAAATATGTTATTTTCCAGCCAAATGAAGTGTTTGTGCTCCACTAATCCCACGTGCTTTCCAGTGCAGTAGGGCTTTGCTGTACTTTGCCTTCTTTGAGTAACTATATTTCAGGTATGTGTAGGAGTGACATTATTTAAGTTCATGTGAAATGTAAATAAGTCAGACACAGCTGAAAATGTATTTCCTCTGCCATCCCTATATTGTAGAACACAGTGTCACTTCATATTACTTTTCATTATGATAATCTTATTTTAAAGCTGACAGTCATGATTTAATATCCTTGAAAAAGCTTAAAAGTGAGAAGTGTACTCCAGCTACTTTTAGCAGTCTTAAGGAACCCCCTTCCCCAGCATTTGTATTGTCATAATTCAGATTATGAGAGAATCCATACAGCTCCTGTGCCTTTATAAATAAAACACACTAGGCAGGGAGCCTGGCATCACTTACTGAGATGGAACCATAATGATATAAGGAATATATTTCAGCCCACCATGAGTTTTGTTACTAATCTGATGCCATCACACTGCAAGTTTTGGTGCTCACAGAAAAAAATCTAAACCTGTATCTTTGTCATGTATTAATTATATCCACCCTATATCCAACAAACCAGTGGTCATAATAAAATTCACCTACAAAAAGTGAAAAATATTCAGAAGAAGCCATCAAAACAGCATTTACCCTAAGCCACATTCAGAGCACTCAGTGTAAAATAACTTCCAAATTACCTCCTTTCATGTGTCTATAACTCTTACAGAAGAGCTTGCAAACTAGAACCACAGCAATATATGCATTTTTCATCTCAGGTAATGGAAAATTATTGTTTTATGGGTCACTCACCAGCACTTGTTTCTTTGTGGCCAGCATTATGGAATTGTTTCAGTGAGGAGGAGGTTGAGTAATGTGAGTTCCAGCTGAGAGTGATTCAGATATGGGCACATCCAGCCCCTAGCAAGGCAGGAGGAGCCAAAATGCAGGAGGGTAAACACCTGCTTCCCTCCCATGTACCCTCAGGTGTGGCAGCCCCTGCCTAGCATAGGCACACAGCCACACCCTGGAATCAGGGGGCATGCTTGGGATAATTCCCATGGTTCACTCTCCATGTGCCATTTAAACCAAGCAGGAAGGTCAGACAATCCTTACTGTGAGCCAGGAAAATCAGGAATTACAGAGAGTCCTGCCCTGGTGTTGGTAGCTGCACAGATCTGCATTTACTCTTGGTTTCTAAGAAACATGATAAAAGGCCAGTAATCTGGAATAACTGTAAACAGATCAGCTCTCACTAGCTGTTCTTTTGATAACACTTGATACATTCCTATGAATGACAGAAAATATTTACATTCTCAAGTGGATTGCTCTCACACAGCCCATTTCTTGAAATGCTGATTCCATTTAGGGGAAGATACAATATCTGTGTGCAGAAACAATTCTGTTTCAAATTAACTGAAAAGGCTTTCAACTTATCAGGGCACTAATGAAGTGCAACCACAGAGAAAATGCAGCTGTACACACATCCACATTCCCTCTCACACTCCCAAAAAATCCCAAACAATGCTCAGACCCTAAAATGTGCACCACCCTTGGAGGATCATCCTCAGGTTTGATTTGTTTGGGGTGACACACTACCATACCTGCTCTGCTGTAATTTGTACACTGTCACAAGAGTATCCAAACACTTCCCACTCCAAAACCTGCCCTGAGGCTCCTGAGGACTACAAGATAATGTGTTTTCCTCAAGACAATGGCTTTTCCTCAAGATAAGATGTTTTCTTGGTTTAGCTACTGAGACTTGTGATGGTTCACAGTGCAAACATTGGACAAATAGAAAGAAACAAACATCTGCACACTTTGCTTTGGACATTTTGGTTTAGAACAATCTTTTTCAGCCTGTATATGTGGCTGCAGTGTCTACATAACTACCTGCATCTGGTTGGATTAATGACTAAACTTTCATGTAGATTTATATTTTATATACCCTAAACAAAGCAAAGTGTGCTGTTTGGTGAGAGCAGGATGGTGATTGCACTGCAGATGAAGGGCAAAGGAACAGGGAACAGCCTCAGCACAGGAACTCGGGCAGCAACAGTGAATTAAAGAACATAATTAAGGTCCTCCACAGATTTAGAAAAATGAGGGATCTGAAACCATTTATTAACTCAGAAGCAGCTCCATGAGATGGAGCCACTTAGGGGCTGTGGCCACAGTTGAATTCTTTGTCAATGAGCTCCCCTTAGACACCAACATGTCATTTTCATGGTAACTGAGCTGCTCTGCAAAGGAATATTTGTAGCTGGAAATGAAGGGAGGAGGGGGGAATTAATGCCAGTGAAACAGGAGGAAAACCCTGATTTTCAGGTTCACAAAACCTTTGGAGCTCTCTCTGGCTTTCATGGTAACAGGAATTACTTTCCTAGGTGAGGAATAATTACTTCTTTGGATCGAGCATTAGGGATTAATACAATACAAATAAGAAAACTAAGGAAAATGAAGTTTTTTTAACATTTAGAGTATTTCTTTCAGGCCATTTTTCTGTGAAAGAAAATCTTCTGTGTAGGTGGAGAATGCACTTTCCAGCTCCTTTAGGAAAGCTGACGTGTTCCCATGCTAAGGCACTAACTTTCCCAAGATGAAACTGAGAAAAACCTTACAGTCAATTCCCCTCTAATTAAGACATCTCACACAAGTCATTACTGCATGCAATAATTTGTAATATTTAAGAAACCAAACAGTATATTTAGATATTTGAGGGTCAAAGGTCTGTTCAGAGGTATATTTCCATTTGATTGTGACAAATCAGCCACAGGACCTGGGGGCCTTCACTAATAAACACTCTCTTAACACACTTATTTTTGGAACAAGCTGCTCTTTTTCCATTGTACTCTGCTAGAATTTTTCTCTGTAAAACTCTATTTTACATGCAGTGTAAAAATAAAAGGCTGAATCACATTCCAGAGATCCCTTTCCCATTTAGGATAGCTGTCCTTCAACCAGAAAAACCTGCTTTGGACTAATCCATTAATATATATTGATGCACAGTATTTGCATAAAGTCCCATAAAGTTAGGGCATTTCTAGGAATGAGAAATAATTTTTCCATGCAATATCATCAGAAATATTTTAAGAAATTCCAGCTTTTAAAGATTACAGGAGCACTGTGTTTAATGTTGATGAGAAAACTTAGTTCACCTAATCTATCAAAACCATCCTTTCATAATTCCTCTGAGTATTAATTTTATAGTTTTGTTACTCTGCACAAGGACAAGAATTTGTACTCCTGTTTTACTGCTTTACAGCTGTATAAATTCAGGTGGATATGTTTTAAAAAGAGTTCTATTTTTCTTCTCCTTAGGAGATCACAGCTGCTTCACTCACTATGATTAAAAAGGACTTCTAGTAACAGATGACAGAATATTAGAAATATGATCAAATTACCTTAAAACTTGCTTTTTAGACATAACTAAATTAATCTGCTGTTTGGACAACCTATGCACAGAAAACAAGAGGGAATGGATTTATTGGCACTTCTTTCAGATGACTTTCAAGACTACAAAACCACAGAGAAATAAAGTCAGTCTAAATGCATGCTAATAAAACTTCACACCAACACTCATGATTGATGCTCTTTCTCTCCCCAAATTGATCCAACAAATCAAGAAAGAAAAAGAATTTTCAATGAAAACATAAAATATATTCACTGAAATTCCCAAGCTAAACTGTATGCTGTAGACTGATGTTGAACATTGCATTATGCTCCTCAATCCCCCCAGGCCAAGCCCTGCATTCCCTGAGCAGTTTTGTCACACAGCTCCTCCTCTGCCTTCAGTGCTCCTGTGACCTCTGTGACATTGCCACCACCATCACCCCACCACCATTAATCCCAGGTGTCCCTGTGCTTCTCCCTGAGATCAGATCTGAGGAACACAAGTGAGACCTGAGTTACACCTGGGTGAGGAGATTCACAGAATTCACAGATGACTGGGTTGGAAGAGACCTTAAAGACCATGGACTCCAACCCAGCCCCAACACCTCAACCCTGGCACCCAGTGCCACATCCAGGCTTTGTTAAACACACCCAGGCATGGGGACTCCACCACCTCCCTGAGCAGCCATTCCAGAACTTTATCACCCTGTCTGTAAAAAACTTTTTCTTAATATCCAACCTGTATTTCCCTTGGTGCAGCTCGAGGCTGTGTGCTCTGGTTGTGCCAGTGCTGCTGGAGACAGAGCCCAGCCCCAGCTGAGCACAGGCCCCTTTCAGGAGCTGTGCAGTGACAGTGTCACCCCTGAGTCTCCTTTTCTCCAGGCTGAGCACCCCCAGCTCCCTCAGGGCTTCCTCACAGGGTTTGTGTTCCCAGCCCCTCTCCAGCCCCGTTGCCTCCTCTGGAGGTGTTCAAACATCCCAACATCCTTCCCAAACTGGGGCCAGACTGGACACAGCACCCCAGGTGTGGCCTCAGCAGTGCCAGTACAGGGGCAGAGTGATCTCCCTGCTCCTGCTGGCCTCACCATTCCTGAGCCAGGAGGCAGGGGTGGTCCCCTCTGCAATTACAACCAGAGAATTACTCCAGCTTGGATAAAGCCCCTGCAGCATCAATCCCAAGCACTCCCCAGCAGTGCCAAGCCCACCCTGTCCATGTCCCCAGGTGTCACATCCACACAGCTCTAAATCCCTCCAGGATGGGCACTCCCCACCCTGCCTGGGCAGCTGTGCCAGTGCTGCAGAACCCTTCCCATGAAGAAATGCTCCCCAATTCCCAATCTGAGCCTCCCCTGGAGCAAGCTGAGGTGGTTTGCTAAGCCAGGGGTTGCTGTGCAGTCACCTACCTGTATGGGGCTCAATAGAAAAGTAAGGCTGTCCTTCCAGAATGCTATAAACCAGCTTGGCACTATTTCCATACACTGGATCATCTGCATCTGTAGCTGTTACTTTAGTAACAAAGGTGCCTAAATAGAAAGAATACACACAATTAATGTTTACACTCACTAGAAATTTGCATATCTTATCCAAATACTAATTTGAAACAAAAATTCATTTCCTTGGGAGCTGTGTAACAATAATAAAAGAAGGAAAAAATATCAGTAACAAGTTAAAATATTACTTGTGGAACAGAAACAAAACATTTTCCTTCAAGCTGATGTTTGCCAGCAGCCTGAATTTCTGGGTAAAATAAAAGCCCTGTTAGTATCTGTATTATTTAAAGTTTCTTCATAGAATGCATTTAAAGCTACCCAATAGATCTGTGTAGACTTCAAGCATTTGCAAAGGAATCATATCAAAGGGAAACAAAACACAAGGTTAATAATACAGTATAATATAATACAGTATAATATGTTGCATTTAAGACTTGCAAATTCACACTGGAAAGAACTTTGCCAAGTTACAGAGACCAGATAGAAAAACAATAATAAAAAGGGTTCTTTTTTCTTCCCTTGGCTTGCAGCCATGATAATGATTTGATGTGGCCACAGTGACAGAGTTGGGACAACAATAATTGTCTCTGAAATGAGTCTCTGCCACTCAGGGGGCCATTGTTCAGCCAGAGTTATAAATTCCATACTCTGACAAAAATAAATAGAGAAAAAAAACAAAAAAAGAAATTACCCTTTTTATTTCTTAGACAACATAGCACTTGCCATTTCTGTAAGAAGCAAAATGGAATGAAATTTGGTTGGTTGCATTAAGGTTGCTGCAGAGAGGGTTTTTTTTGGCTGACATTAAAGTATGATGGCGTTAATTAGGCTGACAATAAAGACAATATCTACAGAGGGAGAGAAAGCAAGAGAAGGAGAAAGGTTAAGGGCTGAATTATGTTCAGAAAGGAGAATAATTACAGCATCCACCAAAAAAATCACCCTTTCTGGATATGCTAATAAAAATAGCCTCCTGTTGCTTCTCTGTGTGTGCTGTGAATCCTCATCCCATGGCCCTTCAGGACAGCAGAGCAGAGGGAAGGGATCCCTTTGGCACAGCCTTGGTCCTTGCCCTGTGCTCCCTTTTCCTTCCCCTGCCTGGCAGTTCTGTGGGTTACAGCACATGTAAATTATTTGGAGAAATGTTTGCATGTCCAGATACAATTTGCATACGACCCAAGAGCTGCCATTCCACTCTTTCTGGGCACCTCAAACACCAGGGCAAGCTGTGGGGCTGCTTTGGGAGGGCAGGATTTGGGAGGATGGAGAGCAGCTCTCCCAGGAGCTCAGCTTCTGCAGGGACTGAAGCTGTGGCAGGTTTGCCATGTGGAACTAACGAGATAATTCTCAGTGAAGGGAATGTGGGTAGCAGAAATACATCTCACTAGAGAAAAAATGGCTTTTGGCCAGTATTGGTCATTTATTTTTTGTGCAAATTTACCCATTCTTACAGGGGAGAACATCAGCAAAGGGGTGCAGAGGATAAGTGTTCCCCCAGCATCTCCCCTGGGCTCAGCAGGGGCCAGAGGAGTCCTGCAGCTGTGCACATCCCATGGAAAAGGAATATTATGTCACATCTCTCTTGGACAGATGCTTGCTGAACCTGTTTTATAAATATGCAAACTGTTCATGTTTGAAGCTTAACTTGATTTGATGCTGAAAGGTGATCTTACACCTAACTTTTAACAGAATAGTTTTTAACCTGTCATGGGGCCTGAGAAATGGAGTTTATCCTCAGCTTGGTGCTTAGTTTGTGAGGAATTAACATCAGAAATTTATTGTCTGCCCAGTGACAGCAACCAGACAGCAACAGACAACTCCTGACAGCTGAGAGTGGAAATGATAAAGGGGACAGGTGACACTTGTGGTGCCCACCCCTGTGGCAAATCCAGCAGCCTCAGCCTACAGGAGATCCCCTCAATGTTCTCCTTCAATGTAGAGAGGAAGGGGGAAGCAGCCCTGGGCACTCAGAGGCCATGGCATAGGCTGCAGGAAACAGGGAACAACAGTGAGGGAGTTTGCAGGAAGAGAGGGACAAAAGGCCCCGTGGTGGCTTGGCCAAGGAGTGACAAGGCCTGAGGAGCTGTGGCTGATGGGGTTGGCTCACATGTTTGATGTCTTGGGAAGGCTGGCCTAGAACAGAGGCTGGACAGAGCTACAGAATAAAGCAGGGATTTATTAAAAGGATCTCCTCAATGGATCCACCTTGGGCAGCACCAGAGCCCAGCCAGGGCTGCACCCAAGATGAACCAAAATGGCCCCAAAATGCACGGCCGGGCCCGGGGTCTCTCCCTTGGATCAGTTCTGCTCCATTTGCACCTTGCAGTTCATTGTCCCATTCCAGCTTTAGCCCCTGCAGTCCCACCCTGCTTGTTTTTCTCTCTCCAGCCCACGGTGTTTGTGCTCCTGGGCTGAGATTTGGATCATTTGTCCTTGGTGCCCAGCTGGAGCAGGAATTGTTTTGTCTCCCTGCTCTGTGCACAGAGCTCAGCATCCCCTGATGTGAACCCAGCCCCACACACTAAAGCAGCACAGAACCTGAAAAATAGAAAAGCTCAAACCTGGGGCATCATTTCCCCCTGAAGTTCTGTTGGCTCACCTTTTGTACTCACACCCATTAGCAGGGCTCTCTCTGCTGCTCCCACACAGCCACCCCTCAGCCCAGCTGATCTCCCTGGGCTCTCTGGAGCTGAGCCCCACCATCCCAGCACATCCCAGCACATCCCAGCACATCCCAGCACATCCCAGGCTCCCTGCAGCCCAGGGCTGCTGTCCCAGGGTGACACCAGCCATGAATGCAGGCTCAGAGCTTCCTCCAGCTGGATTCAGGCTGATGTAGCAAGTGATGGGCTCATTTCTGTGGCTGCTATCATAGAACTGGTGGTTTGTAATCTCCTAAGACAGAAGAGGTTTGTGCAGAACATCATACAATGGGACAGGGCTGGGAAAAGATAAGGCTCATCGCAAAGTGAAAATTTTAGTTGGAGTATTTTATCAAGACTGTTTCATTTTGTTTCCATTATATATTTTATATACAAAGGAAAATAAAGAAATAAAACTGTTGACTTCTTGGAGATTGTGTTTGATTTTCCTAGCTGGCTCTCATTTCAAAGGCCTTCAGAAATAATTACATTGCTTGTTTAGAAAGATTCAATATATAATTTCTATTCTTATCTTACTTCACTTGAGAATTCCTGAAGACTTTCTATAGATATTTATTTCAAGATTCCCAGACTTGAATGGATGTGCTGATTCTTTGATAAGCACTAAGAGCTCATTAGATACTAAAGTTGAATACACCCTAATAAAGAGTTAATCAGTGTCTAACAGTGCTTCAAATCCTGATGCTAAGCTGCCAAGGTTTTCTTCTTGTGATATAAAATAATTCAATCACTTATTGAGCTCCCAAGTTCAACTGAAGTTTATAAATGTATTAAAAATACATAGGCAATATGTGTGTCAGTATTTCCAGTCACAGTACACATGAGGCAGGGGGAAAGGCATAATCTTCTTTTTCTTTCCCTTACAGGAAAGTGAAGTGTGACTATAATCTCACCTAATAAAATTAATGAAGGGAATGGACAACTGAAATATTCTCCTGCCTCCTAGAAACCCATTTCTTCCCCAGCCAGTTTGTGCCACTCAGCACTTCATTTCAGACCCTCACACACTTCTGAGGCCTGTCAAATCCAGTCATTTGCTCCCAACCATCTTACTGATGAAAATTGTTTAGGGAAGATGTGAGCGATCATGAAACAGAAATTAAAGAAATTGCTTCCACTACTGAAATTACCTAAGCTTTGGCATAGTTTAAATTTTATCACCTTTAATTTGATTTTTTTTTTCTTTATGCCTTGAATCAAATTTTCTGCAGGTGTGAAACACGCCACATTATGTTGTTCACACTGGCAATAATCAGTATATTTAGGAGCAAACCCTGTCCCCTCTGCAGCTGCAGGTGATGTTGCTAAGTCAGTGCTGCCCTGGCTCCCCTGCAATGTGCTCAGAGTTCACCAATCCCACTCCCACAGGTGACAGAACTTGGGCAAAAATAAGGTTTGGAGAGCTGAGAGGTTCCTGATGGTGAAAAGCAATGCAGAAAAAAAGGAACTCACAGTCACCGTGGCTGTTCCTTAGCCAACCTCCACACCAGAACTCTCCAAGCTTTGGATTACCAATATTTAAGCAGGATTTTAGTCCATTACTGACACTGCAGTTATAAACTATATGCACATAAATATTTTTTACAAGAATAACACACTTAAAGTTTTAAAGATAAAAATTTCACATTGAAAAAGCTGTAAGAATGCAGGGAAGGGCATTTATTAAGTAAATGCTCTTGGAAAAACAACCTTCTGGGTTCTGCTCAGCAAATAAACTGCTAAGGTTTCTGTTTGTGTTTAATTTTCACTGCATTTGGCTTGTGTTTGTTGCTTTGTCAATGCTACAACAAACTCATTTAGCCAGAGACTATAATTTTGAAACGGTGCCATTTTTATAAGAAAGTCACTATTGTAGTCCAAGTCACTGTTGTCCTAATTACAATAATATTGCAGTTTTATATAATCTGGCCCAACAACATAATCACTGTTTCTTTTTGCTTTATGTACCTAATGTTGCCTTATGTAAACCAAACTCTTTTTTTCTTGAGAGATGAGGCAAATTTTCAGATGTTCTGTTAAAAAGCTTTGTGTTTTTTTTCCTCAGGTACACTTTTGCAATGCTAATGACTCTTAAATATGGATTTACCCACCATAAATATAGACTGCACAGAGATTCAACAGATGTTAATTAATGAACACTTCTCATGTGCTTTAACCATTAGCCATTGCTGATTGTTTTACTCTGTCAGTGTCAGATTGTTTTACTCTGTCTTTACAACAGGACAGCAATCAGAGACACAATTAACAACGGGAATATTTTTATATGGCCAGGTGAGAAAGCCTGTGTTTGCTGGCAAACTAAGATTAAAAACCATCATAAAAAATAAGATGTGTGTGCTCAGCTTGTGCTTTTCTGTTGTTTTGGCTGTG